TGCACCCCTCCAGCTCTCAGGGGATGCTGCTGCCCTGGGGTGCCTGGGAAGGAAGTTGGGGACAGGTGGGACTCTGTGTAGGCACAGCATGGCTTGCTGCAGTCACAACCCTGCACAGGCGAAGTCAGTGTTACGGCTGCCATCACAGGTGCCTGAAGTCCTCAAGGGCCACCTGAGCTGCGTTGCGTCCTGCTGCTCCCATCACTCCTCCCCCTGCAAGGGAGCAGCAACAGGGAGCAGTGGGCAGCTCTGGCCCCGGGAGATGGGGCCCAGGGCTGCACCAGTGAAGCTGCTCCATCTCCCTGCCCGTGTGAGGGCAGAGGGGAGTAGACCCCTCCCCCCCCCAACGCCTTATGCTGCCCTTGCACCTCTTCCATGCACCCTGTCCTTCTCCTGCAGCCCCCTAGGAGGATCCTGGCTCCCAGCCCTACTCACCAGGGTGGGCTCCACTTCCACAAAGGTACAAGCCAGGAACTGGGGACCGGTAGCCTGAGTAGGATGGTGCTGGCCGGGCAAAGTATAGCTGGTCAAGAGACATCCCTCCATGGAAGATATTCTGCAAGCAGAGCTCAGGCTGTGTGACCTGGCTGTGACCAGCCCGATGCTGTGCCCCTACCAGTGCTGGCACCAGAGCGATGCTTAGAGCTGAGCCCACATGGTACCCACCCCACCAGGCAGCCCAAAGATCCTCTCCAGGTCTGGTGGCGTTAGGATGTCCCTGCCGATGACGGATGCCTTGAACCCTGGGGCATAGGCTTCGATGCAGTCAAACACTAGAGAGGGATGGAGTGACTGGCACACAGTTTGGGGGACACGGTGCCTGACCCCTGAGGAGCTCCAGGGTGGCTCTGCCCACAGGCAGGGACCAGCACTCCTGGTGTTACCTGTGTCTGTGTCTGCATTACGTACCCGTGTCTGCATATGCATTTCTGGCATGCTCGTCCCAGGGCTGCCCGCCCGCCAGCTTGAAGGGGGTATACTGGGTGAAGAGGGACACGACATGGCAGCCCTGTGGGGCCAGGCCCGGGTCCAGCACCGAGGGGATGCAGAGCTCGATCATAGGCCTGGGGGAGCAGGACACCAGCTGGGCAGGCAGAGGAGGATCTGGTCACCCAAACCTCTTCCCCCAGCACCACCTGCCATGGCTGTTCTGCCCCTTCCCCGGGGCACCAAGGTGTGCCATTGCAGGCTCCTACCTGCTGGAGGGGTGCCCGTGGGTGGCTTCAGTGAAGGCTTGGTGCAGGAGGTGGGTGGCCTCACAGTTGAGATGGATGGAGCACTGGTGGTGGGGCAGGGGCTGGCCATCACGGGAGGACCTGGGCCACCCGATCCACTGCCACTGGGTGCAGGAGGGGAAGATGGAGCAAATGTGGTGCAGCCTCTTGCTGAGCCCTGCAGCCTGGCACTGGTGTCTCTCCAGTGGGAACGGTGGTGGAGGTGGCCCCACCAGTACCTACCGTTGATCTTGGTGACAGGGGAACATGTGTCAACCTGCCTGATCCGCTGGACAAAATCCTTTGGTAGCTGCTCCTGGGGTGGGAGAGGCCGGGGTAGAGCCCAGTGGTGAGGGAAGCAGCCTGGCCAGGGGATGCCAGCACACCAAGCCCCCGCCAGCCCCGTGTGCCCCATACCTGGGGGGTGAGCTCCAGGAAGGTGATTTGGGGGGAGGCATTGGACAGCACCAGTTTGCTCCTCACCTCTGTCCCATCCTGCAGCGCGACGCCCTGTGCCCGCCCATCCCCGCCCAGCAGCACATGGCACACCGCCTGGGCAGGTGGAGGGGACAGGACCTCACCAAGAGCATCCCTGCTGCCTGCAGGCTGGCCAGGCAGCTCTCCACACCCAGCCCCCCTATACCTTCTCAGCAAAGATGTGGGCTCCTTGGGCAGCCGCTGCGTGGGCGATGGCTTGGGACAGGGCCCCCATACCGCCGGCCACGTAGCCCCAGGCCCCCCGCCGTCCCTCCAGCTCACCCATCACATGGTGCAACAGCACGTACCTGTGGCAGCAGGCGCCCCGGTTAGCCAGGGTCTGTCCCCTGCATGGGCACAGTGAGGATGGTTCCACAGCCCCCATAGATGGGACCGCACCAGCTTGTAGGATGCTAAATCAGTTACTGGGAGCACCTACCAGCCAGGACTTCACCTGAGCTGGGGACAGAGGTGTCCAAACAGCAAAGGTGCAGTGGGGACCACTCAGGAGAGCCATACAGCAGGGATGGGGGACAGCCCCTTGCCCAGCCCAAACCCCTGAGCCACCACAGCAAGGCTGAGCGGGCAGCAGGAGGGAGAGGCAGCGGGGCAGGGTACAGGGTGCCAGGGGACCGCAGAGCCCAGGAGCTGCCAGCACAGAGAGCGGTATGGGGGGATGGTGCAGCCATGAGCCCTGGAGGAAAGGGACCCTCACCCACTGCCAGGGGTGTGGGGGCTGGCCATAGCTCCAATCACCGCGTCAGTAGCCAGAGTTGCCTTCAGGGGCTCCGACTCAAACCACTGGTCCAGGATCTGGCCCAGGAGAAGAAGAGAGCACCAGGCTTGGGGTGAGGGCTGCCACATCCCCCCGCAGGCAGGCAGGGAGACAGCTAGTGTCTCTGTGCCACTGCTGCCAGCACTCACCTTGGAGATGGGGGCTGTGAGCACCTCGTAATAGCGGGGCAGCTGCCACCCCAGCGCCAGCCCTGGGGGTGCAGAGGCAGCGTGAGACCTGCACCAGGTCCAGCTGCCTGCACCTGGTTGGGTTTGGGGACAGGCAGAGGGCAAGCTTGCTGGCCTGCCAGCCCAGCTGGAGCTCCTGAGGAGCCTATGCCCTGGAAGAAGCAGCTCTGCATTGCCCATGCCAGGTGCAGGCAAATACCCATTGCCATCAGGGTACCCAGCATCCCAAACGTACCTGCCCGCAGTAGGGGCCGCAGGGCTTGCAGGGCCCTGAGCCGCTGGAGCAGGGACCCCTGCCCCAGGGCAGCTGTATCCACCGGGGGAGCATCCAGCAGTGGATCAAGGGCCAACACCAAGCCCCCCATGAAGGCCTCGTACTCAGGATAAGCCTGAAAGGGGACAGAGACGGGCTGTGGTGGGTGCAATGGATACCCTACCTAGGAGCGTCCCTGCCACTCTCCTGGGCAGGACAGCCTCTTGGGGGCTTTGCTGTGCTGGGTGCTTGCCCTCACGATACCTGGGCATCCTTCTGGGAGAACTGTGCGATCTGCTGCTGGGTCTGGGTCATGTCGTGCCCCAGCAGGAGGGAGCGGGGGGAGCTCCTGTCCTCCAGCAGCGGGGTGAAGGAGTAGGGGTCCCGTGGGAGCACCCTCAGACCGTGTTGCTGCAAGACAGGGATGGCAAGACCCACACTGTGGGGATGGCTTGGCAGCAGGCTCACCCGGCCAGCATGCCAGGAGGTGCCAGCAGCCCAGCCAGGGACGGGTGCCGATACCTGCAGCTCCAGCTCAGCATAGATCTGCGGCCGCAGCAGGCTGAGCAGGTACGACGCCCGGGAGAACTTGAAGCCTGGAAGATGTGGGGCAGTGGGAGGTGCCCGCACCCAGGGTTGGGGGGGGACTGGGGGTACACATGGCACATAGAGGTACCTGGCACAATCTCCTCTGTGACAGCTGCACCACCCAGTACGTGGCGTTTCTCCAGCACGACCGTGCGGACCCCTGCCCGCTGCAGGTAGGCAGCCTGCGGGGAGCCTGGTGTCACGCTGCCCATCCCTCTGGGCAGATGTGTCCTCATTGCCTTGAGGACCCTCTTGCACATGGTACCCTCCTCACCAGGGAAGACCCTGCTCCTCACAGCCCTCTGGGAGCCCCTAGCCCCACAGGCAGTGCCACCAACACCCTCCCTTGCCCACAGCACAGACCCTCCCTGGTTTCACGCGGTCCTCTGGGGATGGAGACAACACCACCCCGCTCTTGGTACTCACTGCCACCAGCCCGTTGTGCCCTGCAAGGAGAGAGGGTGAGCTGAGCCCAGCATTGGGGTGGTCCTGCGGCACAGGGCACCCTACGCGCGCTGCCACAACCACCCAAATAACGGGGTTCTGGACATGTGGATACAGGTGACAGGGAGCATCGTCCCCCATCCCTACAGCCCTGGCCCTAACGGTGCAGGGGATGGGGACAGTGGTGGTCAAAGCAGATGCCCCAGTTACACCCTGCACGCGTGGGGGCTGCAACATGTGCCCAGCCATGCAAGACCCCTGCACCCTCCCCCAAGGACCATGCTGGGGGACTGCCACGTGCCCAGCATCACTGTGGTCCCCACCTGGCCACCCCCCACCTGCCCTGAGGGGAAGGCAACTGGGTGTCCCTACCAGCTCGCTGCAGCCCAGCGCAGGGTCCCTCGCCCTGTGTTACCTGATACAATACCTGCCGCAGCCGGTCTGCAGCCCCACCATGCAGCCGTGCTCCTGGCAGCCCTGGGGACAAATGCCAGCCCCGCAGCCAGTGGGAAGGGCAGCCCATGCCCAACCAAGCCCGGAGCCCGGCTGCCATTGCCCTGCAGTGCCCGGCCACGGCTGCCCTGTGCCTGGCAGCCTGGACTTTGCTTTCACAGCGGAACTTTTCCTAAGGCTTCCGGGCACGGGGAGGGAACAAGGGGGCCAGAGCAGGGAACGCCTTGGTGCAGCGCCAGACGCTGCGTCCCAGGGCTTGTGGGGAGGCTGGGCAGGACAGGGCACATGCCAAGTGCTGCCCGCGCCCTCCAAGCCCAGCACTGCCTGCAGCAAGGCGCTGATCCTGGCAGAGCTTTGCTGGGGGTTTGCACTACTGAGAAGGAGCCAGGGTCAGATCCTGCCTGCTGCTCAGCAGGATGCCAGGTGCTCCCCACCCTGTACCCCAGGAAGGTGCTGGGCAGACAGGCGAGGGCCTGAGAGCCCCCCCCAGCCCCTGTTCTGCTCCAAGGAGGACCCAGGGGCATGTGGCTGGGGTGATGGACCAACAAGCACTGCAGGACAGGGGGACCTTGTCCCCCCCTCGAGCAGGCAAGCCCCAAGCACAGACCTGAGAGCAGCGGGAGAAGGGGCAGCTTGGGCATAAACTTCGCCCTGAACCCAGCGCTGTTGCTTGGCAGAGCAAATTCCTGCCCAGCAGGGTGGGGCAAAGGCCCCACCACGGTCCAGTGCTCCCTGAACTGCCATCCCCAGCCCCAGCGAGCAGCACAGAGCGACAAGGGCAACAGCTACTGGAGCCCCAGGGGGCTGGCCCCATCCCCAGCCGTGGCTGGGGGGGGTTGCATATGCACCAAGCCCAAACATGCCTAGGAAACACATGAGCTCCCTTGGCTTTACCCCCTGTTCACAGCCAAGCTCGGCCCCACGGCTGACTGGTGTCTGGGAGCCCAGGTGTGGGGTAAGGGGTGTGGGATAAGGGGTGTGGGATGGGTGGACCTCCCCACAGCCTGCCAAGCCCGAGGGGCCCGCACCCATTTGTGGGTGAGGGGAAAGGGGGATGCATCCTGGGCCATTCCTCCACGTAGGTTTGGCTACACCGTTTTGTTCTCCAGCCAAAGCCTGGTGGTGATGCCAAGCCAAGGCTATAAATCCTGCTTTGGAAATGCACTTTTCAGCAAGATGGTGATTTGCCAACAACCTCTCAGCCTCACTCTCCACCTGTCCCTGGAGGCTGCTGGGTGCCAGCGAAGCCTGCGGGAAGTGGCAGGCAGCGGGAGTCCTGGCTGGGCTGGAGGATGGGAAGGCTGCCCATGGCTGCCTGCAGGCACAGCTGACGGCGCACAGGCACCAAGAAAGCAGCCCAGGCACCAGGAACACCCACACACCCGCTTTAATCCTGGCCCCAAGGCGGTTGGAGGCAGCTCAGAGCAGGGGGATGCGGGAGGGCTCCCAGAGGCGCCGGGCCAAGTCACAGGCCTGCTGGACCACTAGCTCGGAGGGGATGATGCCCAGGTGCACAGTCAGCAGCTCGTAACACTTCACCACCTCTGCCTGGTGGTTCTTGCTGTAGTAACGCAGCAGCTTCCTGGGGAGGAGAAGACAGGGGTCTTGGCAGACACAGCGCAGACCAGCACGCCCTTTCTAACCACCTTCTCCCTAGAAAGTCCCTGGCAAGGACACAGTGCCCATACCCTGGCAGGACCATGGCACCAGGCTGGGGAGATGGGCTGGTGCAACCCCAGTGACACCACAGCACTGGCACCACCCTACAGCGACATCCTGATGAGGACAGCATCACTCACGGTGACCGCCATGCCAGCACAGCCCTGGGCCCTGGTGCCAAAGTGCAGGGCTGGGGACTGCTCACCTGTAGTAGTCTCCTGCCAGCATCCCAATAGGAGCAGAGTCATCCGAGAGAACCGGCACCTCCATCACCTCCAGCTTGTAGCCCTGGGGAGAGATGACAGCAGAGGGCAGGAGCAGGGAAGGGACTGCCGAGGAGCTGGAGCTGGCTGTGCCTGCAGCCCTTCTCCCTGCCCCCAGAAGGTGTCGGGGGAGAAGGGCTCAGCCCCTGGCCCCACATACCAGCTCATTCTCAAACCAGAGGAAGTAGGAGCAGTAGTAGTCACCATCCTGCAGCATGAGCGTTGTGTAGCCCTTCTGTAGGTATCGCCGGGCCAACGTGATCAGCGACCAGACCTGGGGAACAAGGGACACCTGAAGCCTGAGCAGAAAACCCTCCAACCATTCAACCTCTCCTGTGGTCCCCATCCCCATGAGCAGTACCTTCCTCTTGATGAAGGTGGCCAGGGGGCCCTTGCCCAGCTCTGAGCTGGACTTCTCTGTCACGCTGAGCGATGGTGCCATCATCTGCCCAGCCGTGCGGTCCGCATAGATGAAGTGCACCAGACCAGGAAAGTCCTCCAGGTACGTGGTGTGGGTTAAGGGTGTCCAACAATTTTGGTGCCCATCCAGGACAGCTCTTAAGCCTAGGGGAAACCGCTTTCTCCCACCACACTCCTCCCCTTGACCCTTGTGCTGGGGGGACAGGGTCCTCCCTCTTCCACCTCTGTTTTCCCCCCCAGGGACCTCTCCTCCCCAGGCTGGGCTCCCAGTCGCAGGGACGGGTATGACACCATGGTGATATTGCGCCTGCTCTTCACCAGCAGAAAGTCCCGCCAGTCCAGCAGTTTCTCCCTGCCAAGAAGAGGTGTGGTGAGAGGCTGGGACCCCCGCCAAGCCCCAGCAGAGCTGGGTGTGGGGCAGCCCGCTGGAGATGCTGGCCACCCCCATGCACTCACCTCATCAGCTTCTGGGCATGGTCCCGTAGCCCCTGGGACAAGCTGTGGCTGGTGGAGGCCAGGAAGAGCTGGCGGTACACAGAGCAGAGCTGCCGCTTCACGTTGGCCACTGCCTGTAGCAGCCTGAGACATGGACGGTAGAAAGTTAGGCCCCTGGGTCCCCAGTGCCACAGGGACAGCCGTGCTGCCTCCTGGGCTGGGAAACATCCCTGCTTGCCCTGGAGACTTTCCCTGGTCACCTCATACTCACTCCAAGGAGCTCGCAGGCTCACTCCGGGAAAATATCTTGTTCTTGAAGTCCATCCAGGCATTCTGCAACTAGAGAGAGACAGGGCTCATGTCAAGCTGTGGGGACAGCAGTACAGGGTTCTTGTGTCCCCACTCCCACCTGGATGTCCTGCCCGCTCAGCTTCTTCACAAACTTGTCCATGCGCTGCCGCAGCTCAGCCAGGAACGGGTAGGAGCGTGGGGCTCCTGTCTCCAGCCCCTCTTCCAGCTTCCTCTCCAGCACCAAGAAACCATCCAGCAGCTGGTACAAGGTGATGGCCACCTGGGTCGTGGGGCCCTGCCAGGGAGAGGAGAGGTGGGTCAGCCAGGACCCAGCCCACTGTCGCTTCCCTCACCTTAGAGGCCGCTCACCTTGGTTAGGAGGACAAGGGAGATGCCTGGCCAGAGTGGGAGGCAGTGCATGGTGTGCGGCAGCAAGGGGCAGTAACCTTCCCGCAGGTTGGCATCCAGGAAGATCCTTCTGGGGTTTGAAGCTTCAGGGACCAGAGGCCCCAAGGTCTGGAGCAAGTCCTCTGCCATCTAGGGAAGAGAGGGGAGATGCTCAGACCCCTTAGGGGACGAGACAGCCTGCACCGACCCAGGACGCTCTGGAGGGACAGAGCAATGCACTGAAAACTGCAACTGGGCACGAGTGAACCCATGGAGCTGGAGGGGCCACATGGCAAAAGATCAGCAGCAAGGGAAGCACCCAGGGACCCCAAAAGAGCAGCAGATAAAGGGGAAGCTGCTTGCAAAGACACGGGTTGCAAACACCTTGCACCAAAGCCAGCACTTGCTTGCAGAGAGTGTGTGAGGCTCTGCAGCATTTGGCAGGGAAGCAGCCCAGAAAGCCCAGAGGCAGCAGAGGGAGACACCAGACTGCTCTGAGGCAGCCCCGGCCCCTCTGTGCTGATGGCTCTGGACAGGGAGACCGTACGCAATGCCTCAGAGAGGGTGGTCAGAGCTATTACAGTTATGCACAACACGGGGGACACAGGCTGAGGAGGTGCAGAGCCAGGAGGGACTGCAGGACCCCTTGCTCACCTGGACTTCTGCAGCATCCACCTCCCCGGCGCTCAGTATCTCAGCACCCTCCGACCAGCTCTCGCTGCCTGCAGGGAGCATGGCAGGTCACCCTCCTTGCCAGCCCCCCACGCAGCCCCAGAGCCTCTGCAGGGCTGGGGGCACAGGGCAGGGCTGCTGCCCGGCTGGGCACTCACCCATGCTGTGTCTGTCTGGTGAGGGCTCAGGTGTGTAGTAAACCTCAGGCACAGAGAGATCGTCTGTGTCCTGCTGGCAAGAACGGCTGGGTCAGCGATGGGAGC